AATACATGATGTCTGCACAACCGCTATATCAACACACAAAATATAACTCTATGATTCTTTGGTATGGTGAAATGTATGCATGTATAAACATATCAAAATGTGTGACATTATGATGATGTTTATAATGTACTGAAAATTGTATTTGACAAGGGGCGGTCGGGTAGCCTAGAGGTTAAAGCGTTCACTCGTCACGCCGAAGACCCGGGTTCGATTCCCGACATGGGTACAATGTGTGAAGCCCATTTCTGGTGTCCCCCGCCGTGATATTGCTGGAATATTGCTAAAAGCGGCGTAAAACCATACTCACCCACTCACTCACTCACTGTATGTGACAATACAACATCAACCATACTCTGTACATCACTTGCCTGATAACGGTGTTAGAACCTACACCGAAACGTCGCTCCAAATTGTAATAAAGAAGTTCTTCATCCATTTATCTTATCCTTACTATGTTTTTGTTCATCAGTCATTTTTTATTTAAACCCTGAATGCATACTTTTTAAAGAAATATGTTAGCAATAATGAGAGGGGAGAGTGCCTACGTGCCGGTTCATCACAACAGTCAGCTCGGCGGACATATGGCCTGAATAGGCTCCTGCGCTCGATAGACCGTGTTTCGCAAACACCTGGTATCATCACTATTTCATTGTGATTCATACACACATGATCATGATGTAGTCGGAATCGTACAATCACCTCTGCTTTCAGCAGAGATTTCCAGTGTATATGGAAAGGGTTTTGAATAGGCTCCTGCGCTCGATAGACCGTGTTTTGCAAACACCTGGTATCATCACTATTTCATTGTGATTCATACACACATGATCATGATGTAGTCGGAATCGTACAATCACCTCTGCTTTCAGCAGAGATTTCCAGTGTATATGGAAAGGGTTTTGAATAGGCTCCTGCGCTCGATAGACCGTGTTTTGCAAACACCTGGTATCATCACTATTTCATTGTGATTCATACACACATGATCATGATGTAGTCGGAATCGTACAATCACCTCTGCTTTCAGCAGAGATTTCCAGTGTATATGGAAAGGGTTTTGAATAGGCTCCTGCGCTCGATAGACCGTGTTTTGCAAACACCTGGTATCATCACTATTTCATTGTGATTCATACACACATGATCATGATGTAGTCGGAATCGTACAATCACCTCTGCTTTCACAGAGATTTCCAGTGTATATGTAAAGCGTTTTGTCGCTTTTACCAAATTCAGTATGTAAAGGAGGTCATCGCATGTATCATCGCATCAACCAATATTGTTCTTATTGTTTTCGGCATGCCTGTGTTGATTAAACATTTTAGACAATGATTTAAATCAACATGACAGAGACCTACAACTTTGCGCTCCACATTCGTATCAGTCGTAAGGATATGTATATAACGCAACCAAATCACTCGGAATCCCCACAGAGCTTAATTGCGTCATATGGGTTTAATTTCTTTGACACCGCCTCCATGGTCTGGTGTATAACGTGTCAGACCGGAGAGCGGAATATCGAGTGTTAGATCCCAGACCGCGTCATAGTGGGGTGTCCTAAATTGGGGCATGATAATTCAGTAGGCTAGCACTATGAAACCTGTATCAGTCCGGACTGGTATGAACAGTCACACACACGCGCGCACACACGTGCTATAAAATTGCAATAATCTTAAACGCGACCTTAAGCCCTATTTCACATCAATATTTCCGTGGATATATCAGGGTAACCATATCCTTCATTAATTTCCGAAAAATATATGATGCACCTTAAACCTGGCACCGCCGAGGTCATCCAACCAGATTGACTGACTGAAAATGGCGTCATCCACGTCATAGCTCACGTGCGTCTTCCACATAGGTTTACAATAAACAAAAGCGGTATAACCACGGGGACACGAGCACAAATACCCTGATGCTATACTGCCCCGGAATCTCCAAGGGAGACAAGCATGGAGTACTGGGGACCTTAAGTTTATTTTACAAAACAAAATATATCAAAATATAACAAAATATTACAAAGACTGGTTGGCGCCGAGTCAGCATGATGTGTCTGAGTTGTGTTTTCAATGTTAAACTACGGCATGGTATTTCATTGTCAAGCACTATAAAACCAGGACAAGAAAAAAGGACAAGCGACCTTAAGCCCCAAATTCCGTTGATATTGCGGAGTAACCATATCCTTCTTTAATTAGGATAAATGGTGCACCTCAAACCTGGTCCCGCCGAGGTGATCCAGTCGGATTGGCTGGCTACAAATGGTGTCATCCACGTCACAGATCACGTGTTACTATCCCATGGGTTTACAGTAAATAATAGCGACCAAACCTTTTCCCTCTTCATATAAATCTCTGTCAAAAGCAGAGTCGACTGTACGATTCCGACTCTATCATGATTATGCGTCCATGAGTTACTGATATTAAAGAGTGATGCCCACAGGTGTTCGCCAGAAGGTGAGTGTATACTGCCACCTGGTCACACGCACAATAATTGTCACCCGAACTGTACATGTTCGAATACATGTGAAAATGCATATCATTATCTCATGGAATGTCAATTGTTTAGTCATCAGCGTGAAATTATGTTAAACAGCCTTAAAAATATTGTTCATAACATACCTATTGATGTACACTTACTGTTACACGGCAATGCAGATCACGTTGTTACAGAAAATGAAGCTATATTTAAGGCAGTACAGCATTATATATGTACAACTAAAAGATTCGTGTAAAGAACTGTTCATTCAACAATCTCTCTCTCTCTCTCTCTCTCTCTCTCTCTCTCTCTCTCTCTCTCTCTCTCTCTCTCTCTGTCTCTCTCTCTCTCTCGGCGCCGTCTCTCTCTCTCTCTCTCTCTCTCTCTCTCATCTATAGTGTTTTATGTTTTATGCATATATATTGAATTTGAAATTGTGAATATTTTGTAAATACCAGGGAGAGGGCATTCTAATTAAGTTGGAAGAACTTGTCCCCCAATCCCGTTCACTCCTTGTGAATAAATATGTTTAAATGAAATTGTATGGTGCTTTAACGTCCTGGGCAGAGTTTTTGATCATTTCAGTTCACAGAAGCATCACACCAATTTAGAAAACATGCAATAAGTTATTCTCATTTATATTTAAAACTTATGATACAGACCAATTTCTTTCAAATAGCTAAATATGAGATGCACTACATATGAGTTACATAACGACAATCTATACATTGCCAGACCAGCCTGGCCCTGACAACCCAAGAATATATTAATCAGAATAAGTCTACGCATTAAATCACCGACGATAGATCGACCTCTCATCTTTTGTTTGAAGACAATTTTGTTAACTTTTCAAAAGATACAAACAAATATAGATTGACGCAGGGTTTTTTACTTTCATGGTAATATTTATTGATAGAAGATATTGCAAGCCTTTTCGACATTTGTATATGATTTGTTTAATTGCAACAGTTTACTTATATCGCTTATGTTCTTCACAAAATACTGGTCTGCAGTTCTTAAGTTTTTCTGTCTATTGACAAACTGCCACGAAACATTGATGTATCCATGAACAGTGTCCCTGTACATTCACGTTACAACTGTGTTCCCCTGTCCCCATATGTTACGTAAAATACAACAACTATGTTTTAATTTTGATGAAGCTTGGAGTTATTTCATGGAAGACAAATTTGGGAGAGCAAGTAACAACATGGACAGTAGTGGTAATAATCAAACGCTGCTGTCGTCTAAAAAACTCATTCGCGGTATAAAGAGGCCAAGCACAGATTCAAAAGACTAAAAAACATTTATCCCGTCATTCTACTTTGAGTATACATTGATTTACGTGACTGGATTTGAGAGAAATTAATAACATTGTCGTGTCTGATGCATGACATGCAAGATGCCCGTCTGTCAGCGGTTTGCACATTAAAAGAGAAAGCACTCTCGTCAAAGCCGGGAGATTAACTTCCATTGACATCTATATAAGGTCACGGTGGGACATTTCGAAAGTGTATCGACAATCCCCAATTGACATGATCCTGATGAAAAAGTAAGTTGTTGAGCAAACTAATGTTTAAAGTTGTCTGTTTAATCAACGAATTAGTTTTGGAGAATAGGATAGCTGGCCATGTGACTCATTCCTTAATGAAATAATGACAGTGTTTTAGAGCAGGTCATGATTCCAACATTGATGATTGTGCTCCCTGCACTATAATAATTACAGTACTGTGTAGATCGAGATGTACTACATGTAGGGATTTGTTCTACGATGTGCTGATATCAAGGCAATTCTGTGTGACTAATTAGGGTCTCACGCCGACGAATTTCGAATGTAGACATGCATATCATGTTTTGTGTTTCTTTGGACAGTTTAAAAACCACATAAATTAATTATTAGCGTTTACTGCATTATCAATATGTCCAATCTCATAAACCACACCAGTCATCGTGATGTTGAGGCCAATTAGACTTGTTCGTTGAAGGACGACAAGGCGAAATTGTAAAGGGTTATTGTTGATCTGAATGTACTGTCCATATATGGCCAACAAAGCCTTGTATTATGGTCTAGAATTGCGAAATAAACTAAAACAGACCTGTTATTTTTAGGCTATCCCAGTTTTGGCCGGAACTGGCTAAACCCCTTTATGGCCAAAATACCCATTACGCGTAAGGATGTGATGCCCGTTGTTTGTCTATTCCTCTGTTATGGTTTTTTTCCAATTCCCGGCGTCCCATGCCAAGTAGTAATATTTCTTTAAAACTGCAAATGGTGTCGTAAGACATTCTCAAACATGATTATAGACAGGACACCTTTCAATTTACACCGAATTCTCAAACCCATACATGAGTAAGTAAACATATGTTATATAGAGTTCATTTCTTGTGTTCTTTCTGTCTCAGATATTTTAGATAAACATGACAAGTATTGCAAGATATAGACTTTAAATTGTAAATTTAGCTCTTTAAACTGATTATCTGCAGCGCGAGTCTTGGTTTCCAACCCCAAGTACAACCCTTGATAACCCCACGTTCCCGATGATAACACTAGCTTATATTAACATGGGAGAGCTGGTGTAGCCACAAAGGATCTCGGTGAGTAATGTAACTATTTCATAAATGACTAGTATATTCATTTAGAAAGATAGCATAAGAGGCATTGAAGTCAAATTGAATTTTATCGTATATGTATTTCTCTCTTAAAATGAACCTGTCGTTGTATAGTTATTCAGAACATCAAAAAGGCATACTTTCTCTCGTAATGATTTTAACCTTGCCCAGACGTGGATACCTCGCACTGGAAGACCTAAACACAGCACAGTTACTAGTTCAGCTCGTGTCCATATATATATAACTTAACGTATATACGTTTTTGTAGGTAAGATTATCATAACAGAAACGATCAAATGTGTGATGTTTTGTCATAGTATTATTGTTCTTATTCACATGCATCCACATACTTGAATTGTACCTCTAATGCCTAGGTTGCCCAGTGGTCTAAGGCGCCGCGATTCGCTGTGCAAAGTTGCGTCCCTTGGGCACGCCTGAAATCTATGATTGTGGGTTCGAATCCCGGTTCGCCCCGATTATGTTTCTAGGTTTATCAGCACCATACCCGTGCTCGTTGGTTTCACCAAAGTGGTAAACATCTGAGACCTGCATCACTTCGGAAGTTCCTCCCACATTAAGCTGACACGCCGTGATATAACTGGAATACCGTTAAAAGCGGCGTTAAAACCAAACTCACACACTCACACACCTCTAATGCTGCTGCTAGTGACCTGGGTGTAAATAATGTTCAGTTCAGTTATCCACTGAGATTCCGGGTCAGAATAGGTCATCACTGTTTTTTTCTGGCTCAGACTCTCACCCAGCAACCCATGCTGGTCGGAAGAGGCGACCAAATAGACTGGGTGGTCAGGCCCGGTGACTTCGTTGATGGCGTGAGAAACAAAATGTGGCCCAGAATCGATATTCTCTGTAATTTTGGTAATTTAGGAAAACGAAAAACAGGAAATTAAATTACCAAAATTAATGAATTCTCGAAATAACACACATTTCTAGGGTAACTCACTTGGTGCCGCAATGAACGTGCACGTCGTGTGGGGGCTGATTCTGCTTGGCGTCTGTGATGTTGCTGCGCGAACTATCATGGAGGCACTGGCTTCCAGGTACGACATCATGTCCTTTTCAAGTCTCGTACGAAGAGCTGGACTGGAGAGTCTCCTAAACACGGGTATGTCCACACGAAAGGTATGGATGTATGAACATGTTATATATTTCTATTTGCCAAATATCCCTATCAGTGTTAGCTTATCTCACTTTTTTCAGAGTTGTTCCCCTTATGCGTGCCAGGATCCGCACGTGATGCGGCTAAACTATAAGATATGTTACCTTTGCTAAACGTTTCAAGATAAGCTCGTTATAATTATATTACACTTACACCATTTGATATTCGCTGGGGAGATGGCAAATTTCCGGGGGCTGTAATATCTCGTGTCTACCTATCCATATTATCATCATCCAATGACATGCTAATATCATCCGAATCGTATAAAAAATATCAACGCCAAAGAATAGCCAGTTTCGATTGTCTGTTTCGAAACAGATTCCATTGGGCGTAAAAGGCACAATTGTGATGAAAATTATTATTAACATCCTCACGGAAGCTATATCTGGTGCTTCTAGCATTATAAAAGTAACTTATGATTTTTGTAAGTCTAAAACTCAGAGGTGTTTTGACAAAGAGTGTGACTCTCTTCGTAGTGAGAGTCTTCATAATCAGCGGTTTTAAAGCATCCAATTCTGTTAATAGAACAAAATTGGAAAAATGTACTACAGAGAAGGGGTATTTCATCCAAAATGTTTAAACATATCCAGCCTATTTATTCTAAAGTCAGCTCATGTGTTAAATATATTAACCTTTACACAGACTTGTGTGTGTTCGCCAAGGTTCTGTACTCAGACCCAACTTTTGGCAGAGGAACTTAAAGCATCTTGTAGTTTCGGTTCCAGTTTCACCCCGACATAGTACATTTGTTCCTTTTACTTTTTGCTGATGATGTTATTCTTATTTCTGACACAGTTGCTGGATTAGGGGTCGTAGAACAATATTGCTGCAACTACCTATACTGAACAACAAAAGTTCCTGTGACATTGAATAAGATTTAATGCAAAGTTATGTTTTTTACCAAATCTGAAAAAAAATCGGTTTGCAACAGATAAAAGACTCCTGTAAGTGTTCAAATGGTTTAATTTACCATACTGACTTCAGAAAATGTGTAATTTCATTAATAAAACATGAACATGCCAAAATGTCAATTTACAAATCAATAGCGTGTGTGTCCACCTCTGGTTGCGATGCAAGCAACACATCTTTGTCTCATGGAATGGACTAGGCATCGCACAAAGTCCTGTGGGATATCTGTCCATATGTGCTGGAGCATGTTTCGAAGTTCCTGGAGTGTCTGTGAAACACGTGGTTGACGTCGAAGGCGCCGATCCATCTCATCCCACATGTGCTCGATTGGTGCGAGCCGGCCAGGGGATGACATTCACGTTGTTTTGTTGAAGAGATTCCTGAACAAGTCGAGCAATATGAGACCGGGCGTTGTCATGTTGAAAGGTGATGCCTGGGCCATGACGACGCAAAAACGGTAGAACAACAGGGCCGATGATCTCGTCGCGGTAGCTCTGTCCATTGAGATATCCCTCTACCACTGTCAAACGGGTCCTCTGTCCCACCCCATACCATAACGCTGCCGCCCCCGAACCGATCTTCTTCCATGTCACAATGATTGACGTAACGTTCACCTCGACGTCGGTACACTCGAATCCGTCCATCGCTGTGGCTGAGGTGGAAACGAGACTCGTCAGTGAATAGAACTTGTCCCCACCGCATGGCCGTTCAGCGTGCTTGACGGTGGTTTCCTGTCAAAATGGGACATCTGGCGGGTCTTCTTGCGACAATCCCTGCACATTTGAGGCGGCGACGTACGGTTTGTAAAGATATTCGTCGAAGGCCAGGGATGCTTCTTGCACTCACTGTTGCTGGCTGGAATCGCTTTCGTAGGTGTGTTGTTCGAATCCAGTTGTCTTGTCGATTATTGGTTACGCGTGGCCTGTCACTCCGAGGATGGTCTCTCACTGCATTCGTCTGTTGCCAACGTTGCCATAAACACCAAACGAAAGGTCATAGACAACAAACCCGAGGTTCACACTGATATAATTAAACTTCCGTTGTGTTGTCATTACTGTATTCTAATTAGATGAATTGGTGACGTGTTATTCCTTTCATTTCCCGATGAATATTAAAAAAGTAAGCCACGATCACCGAGTGGATTACTTTCACCACTAGGGAATGTCGGGGAATCACAATTACAGTTAAAGGAATTCCTGTTCCAACAGCTCAGTCTGCTGTAGTTTTTTCGCAGGCTGGGTTCCTAATATGTCATGTCTTCGGGTTTTTATTTCTAACTCTCATATTTCCAACTGTGTCTTGATGTTTGTTTCTGGCGGTCACTGACCAAGTCATTTGAAACATCAGCTTTCTCCCTGACATGTATTTGTTCCCGTTCAATCTCATTAAAATCAGACCTCAATTCTCGCTATCGCTAAACAAAGATCTGAGGACATCCCATTACGGGACACGTCAGAACGACCTTTCATTTGACCTATCAGAGCATCGCTTGCCAGATTATGAAAGTGACAGTCGGAATGTGATTTCTATTCATGCAACTTCGAAAACTTTAACTCCGAACGATAGTTACGGGTTTAATGACTAAATCCATACAATCTAGACCATCTATTAGCCATTCCAGATTGTTCTTTTGTTCAGGTTTTGTTATTTGTAATCGAGAATTTGTCAAAATATGTTTCGAAGCGTAGTCACCAATTTGAAATTAGTGCCGTAAAGCACGAGAAAGCTGCCTTCTGATTGGTCATCCCATTGGTCGGTCAAAGTTCGCGCAAGGTCGCTCTGACGTGACCCCTAATGGGATGTCCTCAGATCTTTCTTTAGCGGTAGCGAGAACTAAGATCTGATTTTAATGAGATTGGTTCCCGTTCGTTACAGTTTGAATGTTGCAGTTCTTTTCGCCACTTGCCTTGATCGACAGGATTTTCTTCATGCTACTCTGCGATGATAGGCTGCTGACTTTGTGGGCATGTCAAGTTATGTGCATAAATTAAACAATCACCTGATACACGCCACAGTTTGTGGCTGGAATGTTAATCAATCTCGTCATTTCTGTCTACTTTGATTTTTACAATTGTTTTTGATTAATCTTTGGCAGATAAAACATGTATTCGCAGTTACAAATTACACTACCTGTTTTCATTCTGAAGGAAAATACACCGTGTTCGCCCCGGTAGACGCGGCATTTCAACTGCTTCCCGAGCAGATGATTTCGCAGCTATACCTGAAAGAGAACCTGCCCCAGTTGAAGGCTCTGGTCAAGTATCACATTGTGCCGTACACTGGGAACACGCACCGCCACTGGACAGGGGAGAAAGTCAACACCCTGGCATCAAAACCTGTACGCATGGTCACCTACCCCCACAACAAGGTCCGTCTCTGTAACATGGCGTCCACACTGTTTAACAGTCCTAATGCTATCATTTAAATTTGTTTGTTTATTCTAGCGTTTCTGTTTGTTTGTGTCATATTTCCTCTTTGCCTCTCCCTATGTTTAATGTTGATTTTGCTGCTTACCTGCAGGTGACTGTTGTCAACGGCGTCGTCCTCACGGAATCGAACCTGAGCGTCTCCAACGGACATATATATCTGCTGAGCACTACCCTGGCCGCTCCTAGTGGTGATATTGTCAAAAGTCTACAACAGGACTCCACGTACTCCAAGTTTCTCACTGCTGCCGCCTTGTCAGGAATGACGAACAAACTTAAAGGTTCGAAGCACCTTACATAATATCAAAGAATGTCGGTGTTAAATAGCTTAATACCTTGCGTTAACATGATACGAAGGGTTCATCTTCACAGGTAACCGTTGTACAACATTGATTTAATTTGCTGCAGTAGAGTACACAGGTAAACGTTGTACAACATTGATTTAATTCGCTGCAGTAGAGTACACAGGTAACCGTTGTACAACATTGATTTAATTCGCTGCAGTAGAGTACACAGGTAACCGTTGTACAACATTGATTTAATTCGCTGCAGTAGAGTACACAGGTAACCGTTGTACAACATTGATTTGATTCGCTGCAGTAGAGTACACAGGCAACCGTTGTACAACATTGATTTAATTCGCTGCAGTAGAGTACACAGGTAACCGTTGATTTGAAACCAAGGTAAACGTATAATATTGACTATACGCTGCGTTCAAATACATGGTTAAACGTTAGACAACATTGATATACTAGTTTCCGTTAAAGTTCGCTACTAAAAGTTATTTGCCAGTGACATAATAGTATTACGCTGCACTAAGTTGGTAAGTTGGTTGGTTTGTTGTTTAACGCCGCACTCAGCAATATTCCAGCTATATGACGGCGGTCTGTAAATAATCGAGCCTGGACCAGACAATACAGTGATTGATATTATGAGCATCGATCCACGCAATTGGGATCGATGACATGCATCAACCTAGTCAGCGAGCCTGACCACCCGATCCCGTTAGTCGCCTTTTACGACAAGCATAGTCACCTTTTACGGCAAGCATGGGTTGCTGAAGACCTGTTCTACTCCGGTATCTTCACGGGTCCTGCACTAAGTACAAAGGTTTACGATTAACATTGATATGATACGCTGGGTTCAAGACACCATGTTAATGTTAAGGTTTAAGGTCGGAGTTCATTTGTTCAATTTCATTATGTTATACCATATGTCAATTCAATTTTAATATTTATTTTGAAAATTTACGAACGAACGTTTTCTCCACAGAAGACAACATCACAGTCCTTGCTCCTTCTGATGACGCATTTCTTAAAATGAATAAAACTAGAACAGATGCTTTGTTTAACAACGTACCCCTGCTACGAGGTGAGTGATGCTTTGTTCAAAACCATTCCCCTGTTACCAGGTGAGTGGTGCATTCGTCAACATTATTCCAATTCTACAAGGTTAGTGATTGCTTATTCAACAACATCCCATGCTACAAGGTAAGTTATTCTTTCTTCCACAACAGCCCACTCCTACGAGGTGGGTGATGGTTTTACAATCGAGCATGCTTTTTTGCTAAGATTTCAAAGAGCGTCATACGAATCTTGATCAAAAGTTGTTTGACCAAGGTTACAACATTCAAAGCCTCAGAAAAGGTTTATGGCAGACATGTGGATGTCATATCCAAAATTAATGGGTCGGTGACGAAAAGTTATGTCCGATTCAATTTCCTATTTTGGCATGTACTATATGTTCCTGTAACGATTTTTTATGCTTGGCCGTTTTTTAACGTTGGTCCTTCGTTCAGCGCACGACTCTTCCCGAGGGAGCGGCGAGGTGGTTGCTGATTTGGTTTGAGACCCTGGGGCCGTACACGGCCAGTTTCGGGATTATGAGGAGTTGCCTCCCTTGGCGACTATAGAGCGGTAGAGTGCTTTGGTTACGACAGTCTTGCTCAGAAGGTTTACTTTGAAGTCACACACGGCCTAGGGCAACAGGAAAATGTATCGGGCCACCTGTAATGTCAGTCAGTCTCACTATTACTACACATTTTGTTTGGAGTCTGTGAAGAGCGGCCATTTGTTTGTTTTTTCACGTGGTCTGCATGAATTGTCGAATGTCTATAGGAAATTGTGGTATTTGAATAAACCTGTGTGTGCCGAGATTCCTCTCTTGTGTAGTTTATTTAGTGATATAATATTGGAAATTTAAGGTGGGTTGAAACAGAACCACTGCCACGCAATTGTCTTGTCACAATACTGGGACCGCAATCTCTGGTATCTTTCAGTGATAGTACAAAGCAAGGCTTATATTCTCGTGTTTCTTCAGGTGAACAATTGACTTGCTTTGGCATGTGTTTGTGACGAGTATCAGCGTTGCCATTTACGTACATGTATGCATGCTCATGAAATCGTCGGAACTGTACAATCGAGAGATTTATTGTGAATGTTGAAATGGCGTTGTCGCTTTTATTCAACAACCATCCCATGCCACGAGGTGGCTGGTGCTTTCTTCCAAAACATGTCTATGCTACAAGGTGAGTGATATTTTCGTCAGCAAAGATTCCATGCTTCTAGGTGAGTGATGCTTTCTTCAACAACATGTAGATGCTACAAGGTGAGTGATACGTTATTTAACATCAGTCCCCCCCTTCAAGGTGAGTGATGCTTTCTTCAGCAACATTGTTGACTAGTGTCTACACACCTCAAAAGCTCATACATGAGCTTGGAATTCTGTTTTTCACTTCTCAAAAAGTAAAATTTTGTAATATAATGATATGATCTTTTTTCACCAATTTCCCTACACTGTCTTGTATATTCGCCGCACAATCTACTCCCAGCATTGGTGGAATTCCACATCCTGCCAGGCGTCTACTACAGTTATGGCTGGTATAATAAAGAGGACATCCACGATGACAACCCAAAATACGACATTACCTACACTGTCCACGAATACGGCAAGTGTTAACTTCTTTATTTCACTGCTAGAACGATTGACCAGCAGAGTTACATTCTTAAGCCATCAGTCTCAGAGTTAACCTCAGTTGGGCATTTTTCTTCAATTTCCATACTGATTCTGAACGGTTTACCTGCTCTAGCCCCGACTATACGTTGTATATGAAATGATATGTACTTGATAGTTTTCTCTCAACTGTTCCTTTATATACTCTCTAAAGACGAGTCCTCGTGTGGAAGAGCACTTGCAGACAAATACATGAGTTATATTACATGTATACAACTCCCGTGTATGATTGAACTGTTCGAGGAAACAGCGTCTTTCACTGTCCACTCAAGGCCCACAAATTCTCGAGGAACATGCAGCTCGAGCGAGACATTTGTGCAGAGGGTGTTGGTTGCAATTGGGGTACATTGTCGAGAAATATTTCTACTTCACGTGTCCGCAATGACAAACACCCATTAGGCGGCGATATTGGTACTCCCATGTAGGATACTTGTAGTGGCATAGATATAACTTTAAGTAAGTGTTCATGGTATAAGTGTCTTAACAGTTAACACTCAACCACCATCTCACTCACTCACTCAATCTTAACAGGTAACCATTTGTTCTGGATTACACCATTTGATGGAAGCGTCTGGAACCAGGATTGGCTTGCAACTAATGGCGTCATTCATGCCATCAGTGGAGTGAAGTATACATGGCCGTTCATTGGAGATCTTAACAGGATAATCGGCTAAAACCAAGATTGGAGACACCACATTCTAATTAAAGATATGTTTACGTGAACTACCGTATATTTTGTCATTTGCACGGAACTCATCCTAATCGACGTGAGTGTTGCTGGGGCTTCGGTCCTGCTCAACCAGAAAATATATGTTCCAAGGATACCATTATTCGAAGCATACTTCGGTACCCACTGCGGCGAATGGTCATGTTATGGAGACACGTTGGGAATTAGTTCATTCTGCTTCCGGAATCAATTGATTCGAGTGATTTCTCGGACTTGAACCATTTAATTGTTGATAAATACATTATCAAAACTATTTGCCTTAAGTGTTTTTGTTAAAAGATGCAGGTTTAGAATGTCCTATGAATTCCTTGCTCAGAATCAACTACAAGAAAAAGTGGGACATCATCATAATGGTTTACCGGTAGGATGAGATGGTAACGTGAGTGTAAACCTTCTATAGTCCTCGCCAGATGAAACAGAGGCACGAAATATCGCGATTTTTAATTAATGAAGATAGGTACATGTGTGCGAATAATTTTTAGGTGAAAACAGCCGGTCCGACGATAAGGTAGATTACTGGCAGCGATGACAAAATTGCAAAGTGCGCTTTTCAAGAAATATCATTTTTGGTAGCGATAAACATCACCAGTGAGTTTTGATCCACGTTGTTACAATCCAGGTAAGGGTCGGCAGTCAGGAGAATGCTAGCGGCTACGTTTTTGCAGCTGTGTAGCGTACGTACATCACCAGCAGGAGCTGAAAGGATAAAAATCGTGCAGAAGTTCTGTTGATCTGGTACTGTAAACTGGATGCATATACTGCTAAATATAAGCGCTTGCATTCACCTGACATCCATCTTCCCGAGGCAAGTGAGTTAACTGACTATAAAAGTCCAGTTTCCACCCTTGCCGAACTAGGCTGGTATTATGGAGTTACATTTTGGCTGGGCTAACGAGTCTATGCATAGTCCAATCAAAATCGCGCACCGAAATCGAAATCCGGTTTGTAAAATGTCGTGCAGATTTCTGTCGATTGAAGGATTTGCAAAGCATATGCACCGCCAACTCGTTGTCAACAGATATTTTCCAAGTCTTTTCATGTTTTTAATCAAGTAGCTGACGTGATTTGATGCACTTCGCTATGTAAGACCCGTTTTATCACAATATAGATCTTGATTATCAATCAGATCGTTTTGACTGGGCGCCACCATTTTGTTTGAATCAAATGAAAGTGATACGAGAGGTGGAATCTGATTGGTCCATAGGAGAGGCTTAGAAGGAACATAACTCGGAATAACCACTGGTGGCGCTACGGTCGAGCCAAGGAATTCCAGCCTAGTTCGGCAAGGGTGGAAACTTGACTTTTATAGTCAGTTAACTCACTTGCCTCGGGAAGATGCCTGACATCCGACCCTTACCGGCATTGTAGCCACGGGGAGACAGGAACAAGTACCGTGATACTCCCCTGGAATCTCCAGGGGGGACAAGTATGGAGTACTGGGGACCTTTAGTTCATATTACAAAACAAAATATTGCAAAATATTACAAAAGAAAGACTGGTTGGTATAATGTGTCTGAGTGGGGTATTCGTATTTTAGTGTGCAAAATAGTGGTTAGCACTATAAAACCAGCATAAGTCCGGACTGGTACAAATAGTTACGCACGCACGCACAATTGCAGTCCAGGGGGGCTACCACAACCAAAACCTTACAGAATGGTATTCACATAATGTTCAATCATGCCTCTTCGACTTAACGTGCATTATCTTACCATTCAGGTATAAAACACATGAAACGCGAACACATGTTGTTATTGCTTAAAATTGCCATCATCATATCTGGTTACTAGTATTTCTCTACTGTCAGAGATAGTAGCCGGTTTGCACTTTAGTGTAGCATTTAGTGTAGATATATTTTTAGACCAGAGAAAGGGAATTTTCAATATTTTTTGAAGATGCTTGATTTGACAAGATAGAGCGACTGTCTTTTGGTGTTCTTGCATATTTTGGAATTGTAATGTTTCAAAACTGACTTTACAATATAAAGAAGCGTTTTAAATAACTGTTGCGCACTTAACAAAGACAAGAACAAATTTAGAACTTTGGTCGCCCCCATCTTGAAGTCACTACATTGGATGCTCTCTCTTACCTAGCAGTCTCTTCATAACACTGGCCCTTCCCATCTTTAAGCAATGTTTCTCCAATAGAAATCAGCCAGAAATCTCCGATTACATGACCACAATCTCTCCTGTTTGTACAAAAATACAAAGTAAAGTACTTCGGTGCTCGATCCTTCTCTCGTGATGGTGCGAAGCTATGGAACTCCCTTCCCTTTAGCCTCAAAAGTGCATCTGGTATGACTGTGTTTAAGTCTGGGCTCAAAACATACCTTTTTGAACGCTACAGCTAAATGTGCATATTTTTATTATCTCACTATCCCCTTTCTGTTGAATATATTTACATATGCTGAACTTGCGCATTGCCTATGCCCCTCGGTTATGTGGAATTTGGTGCTTTTCATATTGCCTCATTATTATTATGTTCAGATTAAAATAAAAAATGCAGCAAAGAGTGTTTGGGTGATCCTGGCACAGTCAGGTTGATTATATAAGCCCCTCATCGGCTCAGAGCCCTTGCCCTGTCTACACGCAGCCCAGACAGCGAATGGGACTTCTTCCAGGAAGCGCTGCCTCCTCAAACCCACCAGAACTTTTCGGAGAATGTGAAGACTCTCCAGGACTACAGCCTTCTGCATTACCCAGATTGTCAGATGATGTATTCCTGGCAACAAACCCAGATACTCTCCCAATGTCAGTGAACAGATTGGGAGGTATCACACCTAAGGCACCAAGAACAATGGGGAGTGGGACAACTTGGTACTATGGATGCAAGCGGGACATTTCGAAAGCGTGGTGCGCATATTTGCAGTGTTTTTCCTGAATCTTGTCAAAAGGGACAGAAAATTCAATTATATATGTAATTTCATTGGATTTATCAAAATGGACAAGATCAGGTTTGTTTGGCTGGATAGGTCTGAGGCTGTATACAGCCATTCCAAAGAATTTTGTATTTATCATTTTCCGTGACGCCTTCTACATGTTCTGGGTCGTGCTATGGATGGACCACTGTGTCAAAACCACAAGCATGGCGAAGACGGTAATAAAATGATCGACCCACTCCATTATGTCGCTTAAGATACTGTGTTTGTGCCAAAGCTGGGCATCCACTGACAATGTGTTGGACAGTCCCATTAAATTCATTGCATAATCTAAATTTCATATTCGCATTTTGATGCAAAATCACACATTAGGGGTTTCGAGTGGGAAGTGACTAGTCCTGAGCAGCAAACAGAAAGCCTCCTGTTTCACTTTTCAGGTCAGGTTCAGGGTTGCTTACCTTCTTAGCACTATGCACATAAACTCGATGCAGTGGTCGTTCAGATTGCCTCAGATTGTTTTGGGGGATGTGATATGGCACTTCGCTTGATTGACAATCATTTCTGTACCGTCCAACTGTACACCTACATGTACATGTATCATCAAAATCAACGCTGACATTGAGATTATGTCCCACATACTTGGCTCGTGTAAGAAAACTCTGGAATGCCTTGTTTTCATATTGAGTCCTGACAAGAGGATCACAAGAGGATCATCGGACAAATACATGTGTGCAACAATACAATTCTATCACGAAGAGCCTCCACGTTAATCAAACCACGCCCTCTCAATATGATTGGTAAATATAAGCGATAACGGGAAGAGCGAGAGTGGTTGGATCTATTGTCTTACTTGATTCTCCGTGTGGGGGTGTCAATACCTTCTATTTCTTGTTTCGTCCAATCAACAACACTAAAGGAATATGAAAGGACGGGTACAGTATAAGTATTTACTTTAATTTAAAAAAAAAATTGTGAGCGTTCAACTCCAGATTTTCTTAAATCTACATTTGTACTCTGCCCAAAGAATTTCCGTGATATGGGGATTCTGATGTTTGTCCCTTACCGGCATCCCTAAGTACGTATAGGCCTGACCTTCCACGAAATGGCCAATAACTCCTTCCCCAAGTAACCTGACTGATCCTCCCTCTTCTCAGAGGTTACAATGTTTCTGATAAACGCCATGTAATCGTCATTTTAGATATGGAAGGCTTAGTGCTATTACCTTTAAATTGAGACTTTGCTTTTCGAAAATCCGGTGTCATCACTGATTTTCAGTGATCAATTCATATAATGTTCACCGCTATTTTGCCTTAAACGACCAATGGAATCTGTTTCGGCAAATTATCGAGATCGGTTATGCTCTGGTCTTGACGTTATATATCCCATTCAAAAATTAACGATACAGTCTCGTGACCATGACACACCGATGATCAGAACCGATAAGAACCATTAATGTTTGGTTGGAAACAAGTTCCTGCTGACGTGGAAAACGCTTTGGATCAATAGGTTTAGTTTCCCGACTAGGTGTCACGGTTTTTATTGTAAATTGAAATCAAAATGAATAATAAGATTTCACGGTTTCATGATGTAAAAAATGCTGACCCTTGACTTTAAACAGGAGTAACAGTTAAAACAGCTTGATATAGTCTTATCTAATCAGTAAGTTTTAGAGAACTATGCGTTAAAAAATGAGATAGATTTGACTCTAAGTGTGAGGTCAAATGATTTTGAAAGAAGTAAATAATTCGCTTTGTCTTTGATATTCTCTGTACATTCAGTAATAGTTTTGCATCAACCACAACTTCTTTAATTCAGGCCTGTCATATCTATGTAAATTAATTTTCTAGACTTGTAAGTGGCATTCAACACTCACCCAAAGATCCATTCTCCACAGCCACGAACTTTGTCTGTATTTTGTATTTTTCATAAATCAATGTCCAATTACTAATAAAAATTCTTAAAGGGTAATGCTACTCGTATCTCAATAACACCCAAAAACATAATATACTGACAACAAAAGTTCCTGTGACACTGAATAAGATTTAATGCAAAGTAATGTTTTTTACCAAATCTGAAACAATTTCGGTTTGCAACAGATAAAAGACTCCTGTAAGTGTTCAAATGGTGTAATTTGCCATACCGACTTAAAAAAATGTGTGATTTCATAAAAAAACAAACATGAACATGCCAAAATGTCAATTTACAAATCAATAGCTTGTGTGCCCACCTCTGCAGCTGGTTGCGATGCAAGCAACACATCTTCGTCTCATGGAATGGACCAGGCGTCGCACAAAGTCCTGTGGGATATCTGTCCATATCTGCTGGAGCATGTTTCGAAGTTCCTGGAGTGTCTGTGGAACACATGGTTGACGTCG